ATGCTTCCTTTTTGCCTGTCCTGCAGTGGATTTGGGCAGGCTGTAGACATGCTGAGGTCCACACTGCTGAGGGACAAAGGTGGGGCGCCCTAGAGCTGGTGGCAGAGGCACAGGGGCTACAGGAAGAGGGGCAGGCAGGTTGACCCCCTGCAGAAGGACTGCCAAATCCTGCCTCTTCACTCTATGATTGTGCCACTGTGTGAGGGTGGTCTGGTTGACCTCATACAGCTGGAGAGTGGTGTCCTTCATTAGAGCTCCATTGTCCCTCACCAGCTGCCTAACCTTCCTATAGTCCTTCAGCATGAGAGACCATCTTGTCAGGCTGCCCTTTCCCTTTTTCTTTGGGCTCTTGTGGAGCTGACAGAGCCTGACAAAGATGGCCTCCACAAGCCGACAACAGTCGGGCCACTGTGCCGGTGATCCACTTGACCCCAGGACGCAGCGCCTCATGCTCTCCGCACCGGGGGTGAATTCCAATTTATTTTTTGGTGACCTGAAGTACCCCGTCTTCAGCCTCTCCTGGTACCTGGCTGCATAGACCACCCGCTGCTGGTCAAATGGCAGAAGATTTTGCCACAGTGACAAAATGGTGCTGGTCTGCTGGTTGCTGAGAGTGAGAGACGTCTCATTTCTCAGCCCAACCAGGTACTCTGCCAGGCTGTCCACCCTGTCCATCCCTGGCATGTTATGCTCATCAACAGCCTGGAAAATATAACAAAATTAAAATATAATTATTCTAAATATTCATATTGGCAGGGAAACTAAGAAACAGATGTGATAAAGAATGATGCAGTACATCACACAAACACTTACCAACAGTTGCTCAGATACAGTGGGAGCTGGGGGGGCAGAGGGCATGGTGGTGGTGGGATCTGTGGGGCTAGAGTGCATGCTGGTGATGGGGGCAGGAGGGGCAGAGGGCATGGTGGTGGTTGGAGCTGGGTGGCCAGAGGTCATGCTGGTGGTGGGAGCTGGGTGGCCAGAGGTCATGCTGGTGGTGGGAGCTGGGTGGCCAGAGGTCATGCTGGTGGTGGGAGCTGGGTGGCCAGAGGTCATGCTGGTGGTGGGAGCTGGGTAGCCAGAGGTCATGCTGGTGGTGGGAGCTGGGTAGCCAGAGGTCATGCTGGTGGTGGGAGCTGGGTAGCCAGAGGTCATGCTGGTGGTGGGAGCTGGGTAGCCAGAGGTCATGCTGGTGGTGGGAGCTGGGTAGCCAGAGGTCATGGTGGTGGTGGGAGCTGGGTGGCCAGAGGGCATGCTGGTGGTGGGAGCTGGGTGGCCAGAGGGCATGCTGGTGGTGGGAGCTGGGTGGCCAGAGGGCATGCTGGTGGTTAGAGCAGGAGGGGCAGAGGTAATGCTGGTGGTGGGAGCTGTGGGGCCAGACTGGCTGAGGGTTTTACCCAGAATAATGTCAAATGTGGGGTCATGTCCGCCATCATCAAAACCCTCATCCTCTGGCTCCTCAACAGCCACATCCTCCAACAGTTGCTCCGTCTCCTCTGTTTCAGGGTCAACATTCTGCATTGCCCTTCCTGTCTGGCGGTACAGGTAGTCAATACCTATCAGCTCTCCTGGGAACGAAAAGAGAATACTCATTGCTCATTTCTGAAAATGTGTTTTTTGGCTTAACCATGGTTGAATTAAACAGAACCATACAACACAACAGAGCTTCTGAGTTTTTAAAAAAGCAGGTTAGCTTCTTCAAAAGACAAAACCGTTGCATGGCCTTTTTAAATATGTACTCTGAGTTAGCTGTTAAACTTTATTATAAAACTCACTCAGTAATGATAATGATATCTAAAAGGTATGAAATAAAACCATTAATTATGATGGGAAAGTGACACACACCAGTATACACTGCAGGGGGTTGGAAGGAGGGGGCAAGTTTCCTTCCAAGCACCTTGACACTGAAGGTGTTGACACAGTGCACAAGGTCCCCTGAGTAGGTGAGGAGTGAGGGAGGTTTGACAGCCAGTGCCGCAGCACCACGGTCCTGGTTCCACCTGTTCAGGCCTTCCAGGAGGTACAGCTGAAAATTCAAACTGTTGGCACTGGTTCCTTAAAATAAAAACAACATATATTTTAAATTCATACAATGAGCTATTTGTACAATGTCAGGTGACACATGTTCTATGCTAAATACTTTATGTCAAAGAGCTAGGTTATACTTAATTGAAACTGACCTGGAATGAACCTGGCCAGGTGGCAGTGGAAGGACTCCAGTGATGTTGAGCCCCTGGCACACCTGTAGGTGGTGAGGACGATGCCCTCCTTGGTGGATGATCCTGTCTCTGTGTAGAGAGGAACACCTGGCTCATCCTGGATGCATTTTACATGCTTCCTCTGCTGTTCCCAGATGTTCGCCATCCTATCCCTGTCCAGGAGTGGCACACCAAGGAAGTCACTGCCCTTCTCCCCCATAAGCTCTTGCAAAAGGAGGTCAATCATTGAGATGGTCTCCTTCTCTCCTCTTGTCCTCCTTCTGCAGTAGAGCACCAACTCACTCTTCCTAATGTTCTGGTTCACAAGGCTATCAGTGATGCCAGGAACCCCCTCCCGTTTCAGCTGCTCCCTCTTGACCCGGCGCAGCAAGGCAACGTCACCTGCATCCCACTCAAATATGCAGCAGGACAGACGAGCCATGAAGATGGGGTAAAGGGGATGGGCATCCTTGGTGCATCCTGATGCCAGCCGCCGCATGAAATGATAAATGTCCAGCTTGACCACAACGTCTGGCCAGCCACCAAATCGTGCCTTAAGCTTGGTCTCCTCCCCATCCTTCTTGCAGCATCCACAGTCCACATACAGGAGCTTTGGAGGAGCCACACCTGCTTCCCTGTACCTCCGGATGAGATCAGCCACCATCAGGTCCAGCCCAGAGCCTTCCTGAGCAGTCAGGACACTGATCAAGATCTGACCCACCTCGTTACTAACTGAGGAAAGCCAGAGGGCAGTCCCCTTGGCAATGCCCGATAACTTCCTGGTGATCTGAAAGTATACAGAGGAAACATTCAGTGACTTAGGTCTAACTAGCATATCATTTTGTCTGGTATTGACTTATGTATTTACATTTTGTAAGTATACCATTCTTTTTCAGTACAGTTTAACAGCCTTTTACAGGTAAAATCATTTTAACATTGCGACTTAGGGATGAAGAATATCCCTTTTTAGTCATTTTGTCAGTTTGAGTGATGCTTTGATACACGTTTTTGTAGAATTGTGACATGAGAATAAGAGCAGTGATGAGGAATTGTACCTTCTTTGTGGAGTCCATCTTCAGGATGGAGCCAAAGGTAGATGTAATGCTGGCTTTGATGTGCTCCAGCCTGCTTAAGATGTCCCGCCCGTAGACCGCCAGCATCCACTTATAGGTGGGAATGGCCACAGGCTCAGGCGGGTCCTGAAACACCACAGGGAACAGGCTGGGCCGGCCCACAAAGTCAGAGCATGCCCCGAGGTACTGGCAGAGGCGCTGCAGCCACTCCTCGCTGTGGTTCTCCCTCAGCTGCTTCACCAAGCGAGACGGGCTGTTGCCCAGGGTCCTCTCCCGCAGAAGCGGATGACCCGAATGTCACAAGCATATCTGTATTAAAAGAAAGGGAAGAGACAGAGACATTTAGACAAACACAAAAAGACAGTCCAACCTCTTATAGCAGTCTGTTTCAATTACAGACAATTTTCAAATAAACAATGTAACACAATAATATGTATTCTCATTAACATTTTTTTGTACATGCTCGTTACAGTGGTGTCTTTATACTCACTTCTGAGTCAGGATGAGCCTGAATTCGAGCCGGTGAGCCAGGTCAAGCTGGTCCAGGATGGTCTTGCTGCTGGACAGGTAGTTGGTTTTGCAACCAATGCTGTTGCACCTGAGGGTCTCTGTGACCATCAGGTAGTACCTGTCCACGTCAAGGACCTGACGGGCTCTCTTGTGGGCACCGTATCCCACCAGCTGCTTCCCACACACAGGACAGGTTAGCCTGACCTTCCACAAGTGGTACGGCATCCACACAAGCAGGCGATGATTAAAAAAGCGCTCTGGAGTGGGGGCCTGATGGTAGATGAGCGCTGGCCCGGGTGGCTCGTACCACAGCTTCAGGTCGGTCCGTAGCCGCTGGTTTCTCCACAGAGCTGCAGAGATCCATCTCTGGTCCTGGAGGGGGATGGTCTTCCTCATCTTCACTGGCAGCCAGGGTAGGTCAGGGCCAGGGGCAGCCAACACATCCTCCGCTGACATATTGCTGAGAGGATCAGGACCAGGAGTGGTAGAGGAGGCACAGACAGAAGGGTCTGAGGAGGCACTGGAGGGAGCAGCTGTTACAACCTAATAATAAACAAATTATGTACAGAAAGACACACACAAATAAAACATTAACACATCATAAATCACTGAACTGCTTAGGTTAGGGTTTGATGTTTGGCAACAACAACAAAAAATTATCAATAGGATTCTTACAGCGGCAGTGGCTGGGGGGATTATTGAGGCTGATGACACAGGAGTGGGGGGAAGAGAGAAAGGGGAGCTGGTCCTAATATATTTTCTGGGACTCTGGGCAGGGGATGATGTCCTCCCTGATGTTGGTGTTGCAGTGCCAAAGTTTGTGGTGGTACTGGTCGATGTGCTAATAAGGGGCTGAGAGAGAAACAGGAGGAAATACAAGGTTATAAACTAAATCGTGTATCATTATTGGGCATATAAGATTAAAACTTGAAGTATAGCTTCAGGCAATGATAAGGCATTTAAGCACATGAACACACCATTGATCACTGAACTGCTTAGGTTAAGTTTGGCACACAAAAATTATTTGTGAACAACACAATTGAAAAGGGTTCTTACAGCTTTAGCAGTGGCTGGGGGGATTATTGAGGCTGATGAAAGAGGAGAGGGGGGAAGAGAGAAAGGGGAGCTGGTCCTAATATGTTTTCTGGGACTCTGGGCAGGGGATGATGTCCTCCCTGATGTTGGTGTTGCAGTGTCGACGTTTGTGGTGGCACTGGGTGACGTGCTAATAAGGGGCTGAGAGAGAAACAGGAGGAAATACAGGCTAATGAATATCTACAAAATCATGTATCACTACTAGGCATAATAAATCATTGTGTCATAATAAGACATGATAAAGCATTTAACCAAGGAGAAATTATGTCACAAGCAATACTATAAATCAAATGTATGCCTAGACTGTCACCATACTGTACCTTTGCAGGCTTCCTAGCCACAGTTAAATTTGGCTTCAAAGCAGCACCATGCGACCCGCCAAACCGTGGTTTTGTAAACTGAAAGAAAATGAATGTAATCTTACAGGATGCATGATCATGTTATTTATTCTGTAAAACATAGAAGTCAGTAGTTAAGAGTCATTGGGTAAAAATCACAAACAGAATAAAGATTTACCATAGCCAGATTCAAAGCAGGCCTCTGCACAGGTCCAGCAGATGTTGATGCTGAGGAGGCAGCAGCAGCAGCAGCAGCGCTTGAAGGGCCTTGCCCTTGACCAGTGCCAACAGTGGTACGGGGAAATGGGGTGTCAGGGACTGAGCTGGAAGGCTAAAGATGTACAGAGACTTTTGAAGTCATTTCAAGCAAACGACACAACAACAAAAAATGTGCACACAACAATTTGATGTTAGTTTAAAAATACCTTCTTAGTGTGGAAACCACAGCCACATGTCTGTGGCCCCCAAACAGAGATGCCTGTCCCCTCCGTTGCATCGGGCATTTGTCAATCTGTAATATTTCATGACAAAAAATAAGCAAGTGTTTCTATTAGCTTTATCATGTGTGACTGTATTGTAATTGCTTAATACAACTATACCTTCAGATAGAGGTCATTCCACTTCTTCTGGCGGGGAGCAGGCCTGTTTCCTGCATCAGAGGGCCAAACCCCTGAAGCAGCGAATCTCCGCAGGCGTGACATCCACTCCTCATCACCCATAGCCTTGTGCTTTTTTTGTTTTGTTGCCATCTGTGGCCAAAAGAAGTCAAAATTAATATCCCATCAACTCCCTTCATATGTACACATGGGCTAATGCTGCGACCATAATATGATGTAATATAAGACAGGACTTTATAAATCTCTGTGGGATAATACCATTGTTAGACCAGCATAACTAGAACAAAAACTGGATAAAGTATGGCAAAAGTAAAATACAGAACTGAATAAATTCAACGAGGGGGAGGGGGAGGGGGGGGGGGGCAGTGTCCCGCTCAGTTTTTCTGTTATTTCAGTCGTGGCTATTATGAAATCTATTGATAAACAGCCTACCACAACTAAACTCTGCATTATGTTTTACTAATACATCTGCTTTTCGCATTAAGCTCGTTAAATAGGGCGATTCTATTTATTCATAACTAAGTTAGCTATATAGAATTAGAATGAGATATTCTGTTTTAGATGAAGTGGCCCGATGCAGGAGCCTGAAACCCTATGGATAATGACGATGTTAACACGACACGGCAAAATAAGATAAAAACATAACTTACACGTCTCTAACTCTAGCAGCAACAATCATTTTAGTGAATGAAGATATCGTCTGTGTTAACCAAGGTGACCGGCCGGCTTCTTACCGTCAAGTTATTCAACACCGTCAAGTTAACGTAACGTTAAACTTGGATAACGAAGTTTCTTTAACTAGCTAGCGTTTACCCTGTATACATTCAGTCAGTCAAACTAGTCAAACTAACCACAATGAACAATCTAACTACGGGAAAATAATATATTATGAGTGACAGACAATAGTTTAATTGATGACAGTTTACCTTGAGCGATGATGAAGTCGAGTCCCGTTCAATGGATTCTCCGCTACCGGCGAAAATGTATGGGCGGGATATCGAGGCGAGCGCTCATTTCCGATTGGCTCGCACGCAGCGCAAGCTTGCGGGGCTGCGATTGGCTCGGAGTCAAAAGATGCAATGCCAGCCACGCGATTGGCTAACATTTTTGAGGAAAGATGAGAACGGGGCGACGCGATTGGCTTAGAATGATGAGGAAAGATGAAAACGGGACAGAGCGATTGAAAGCTGAGATACAGTCGTACTGCCGTCGCTCACCGCTAGCCGGGCTGCTGTGCAACACTTTGCGGGAAGGGTTTAGAAACATGCAGTTCCCTACGGAGAGACCTGCTGGATTATTACAGCCTTTCCATCGTCAAACCATTTTGTCTTTTTTACTTTAGGACAAAATAGCTTATTTTGCAAAAATGCACAAACATGCCCCTTTTACATGGCCTATTTCAGGCAGGACTGTTCTGCCCTCTGCCTTGCTGTTCTTCAAATGACAGAGCGGGTCGTGTATTGTCTTTCTGCATTGTAGTAGAAAGCCTCTTCTACCCACCCTTCATTTACTTTTGGCCTCTGGAACTGTCAATCTGCTGTGAATAAAACTGAATTCATTCAAGCACTTGCAAAAATGTCAGACATTCAGGCACTTGCCCTTACTGAAACCTGGATCCGCCCAGAAAATACAGTCACACCAGCTGCTCTTTCTGTTGACACAGTGTTCTCACACACACCCCGCTCTGTTGGACGTGGAGGTGGTACAGGTATCCTCATTTCTAATACCTGGAAATTCAATAAACTCTTTCCACTGAGCAACAACTCCTCATTTGAATATTACACAATCTTGGTTACTGCTCCTATTAAAATGTACATTGCTATCATTTACCGCCCACCAGGGTGTAATCTGAATGATTTTGTTGTGGAACTGGACATGCTACTCTCAGAAATCCCTGATGATGGAACACCACTAATTGTGATGGGAGACATGAATATACACACTGATAAAGCCCAGGCAAAAGACTTCCTTGCTCCTCATTTGACCTCACGCAGGTCCCAACTCCTCCTACCCACAAAGCTGGCAACACTCTTGATTTAATCCTGACTCTGAACTGCTTGACAGCAAACCTGACTGTCACCCCTCTGCATCTATCAGACCACTTCTTTATTCAATTCACAATCTCCTTGCCGGAACTCCCTCAGGCACATCCACAAATGGTGTCATACCACCAAAACATGCGATCGCTCAAGCCAGCTCAGCTGTCTCATGAGGTAATAGCTGCCATGCCTGCCCAAAAGGTCTTTATCGCACTCTCTACAGACGAGGCTACAGACATACTCTGCTCCACACTAGGCTCATCTCTGAACAAGCTCTGCCCTCTGGTGTCCAAACCTGCTCGCTCAAGGAAGTCATAAGAGAGCAAAGAGCAGGGCTGAAAATGGCAAAAATCCAAACAGTCCGCTGACCTCAATGACTATAAGCAAAGACTTGTCTCATTCTCCTCCAGCCTGAAAACGGCCAAGACAACATATTATCAGAACAAGATATGCAATGCCACAGATACAAGTAAATTGTTTTCTGCTTTTAACTCACTGCTTCAACCACCTCCTCCTCCACCCACCGATCTGTTCACACCAGACATGTTTGCCTCGTATTTTACTGAAAAGGTTGCAACCATCAGTAACCAGTTTTCTGAGCCTGACCAACTCAGCCCAAAGGCACCAACCAAAAGTGCCTCACTCGACTCATTCTCCTCTCTGACTGAGGATGAAGTCTCTAAGCTTGTGCTAGACTCTCGCTCTTGTGATATCACACATCGACTATTGCAACTCTCTAATGGCAGGTCTTCCTACATGCTCTATCAAACCCCTGCAAATGATACAAAATGCAGCAGCACGACTGGTCTTCAAACCTTCCTAAAAGAGCACATGTCACTCCGCTGTTCATCTCCTTACACTGGCTCCCAGTTACTGCTCGCATCAAATTTAAAACTCTGCTGCTCGCTTCCAAAACAGCGACACAAAACATCTCCTCCTTACTTTAACTCTCTCATCCAGGTCTACACTCCCTCCCGCCCACTACGCTCTGCCAATGAAAGGCGTCTGATCCAACCTTCACAACAGGGTCCTAAGACACTGACTAGACTCTTCTCCTCTGTCGCCCCCCGATGGTGGAATGAACTTCCAAACTCCATTCAATCTGCAGAGTCCCTCTGCACCTTTAAGAAAAAGATAAAGACCCAGCTCTTTCATGAATACCTACTAACTTAATGATGATGGTCTCGATATTATTGATGATGATGATGGTTGTGACGATTGTTTTTGTTTGATAACGATGACTTATAAGACGGTTTCTATACTGATTAGAGCTCTCAAGAACTCAATTCAATTCAATTCAATTCAAAAAAACTTTATTTGTCACCGGGGGGCAATTCAAATCAATCAATGTTGTGCTTTGCCTCTGTGCAATGCCTGTCAGCACCTGTGTGTCCAATCAGACTCAAAGCTGATTGTTTGCGCTTACTGACATTGTTCCCTTTTTTCTAGATCCTTGCTTGTGTTGTACTTACTCTCTGATGTACGTCGCTTTGGATAAAAGCGTCTGCTAAGTGAATTGTAGTAGAATTGTAGTGTAAACTAAAAGTGAATATTCCTACATCGTGTTTTGCAGTAGAAAAGTGCCTCTCGAGTGATGACTTTCGTTTGTGCTTCACCACATTATTTTATGTGGTGCAAAACATCATTTAGTGGTAATATTTGTAGGTAAATGTAAGTGTTTCGAGTTGAACATCCTCATCTTCTCAACCAACAACAATGACGAGAGTTTGACGACGTATATGAAAACGTGCTGGGGTTAGGGGGAGAGGAGACTAAAGGGTGTTGCAGATATTCTACAAAATTGCAGGGCCAAATTGCGCTGATTTGTTGAATTTGCTTTAGTAGTCGAGATTGCAATATTGCAAGTTTCTGGAGGGACTGCGTTGGTAGTTTAAAGTAGACGTCTGCAACCCGACCTGACCCGAGCCCTACGGTGCCCAAGGCCAGACCTCGATTAGGCTCACGTTGGGTCTGTTTTCTCCCTGCAAAAGTACTGACCCAAGTCTATGTGGTTCACAAGGCAGACCCCTACATGCTACATCACAACTTTTACCTGAACCTGAACAAGTCCAGACACATTAGAGGACATCATGCTTTGAATCTATTAAGTTGCCATGTTCTTTGTAGAAACTCAAACTAGCTAAACTGTGCTATTTACCACAGAATTTTTTTTTTAATGAAGACGTGGAGAAGGGGGCTTCATGTCTCTGTGGCGCAATTGGTTAGCGCGTTCGGCTGTTAACCGAAAGGTTGGTGGTTCAAGCCCACCCAGGGACGTACCTTTTCTATTACGCTCATCACAAAAATCTTAGATAATACAAAAGACAGCCATCCAATCCATTTGGACTTTTGTTTAAAATAAAAAAAATAAAGAAGACATAATAGTTGCAGCATAAAAACCTCAAGACAACATGACAAACAAAAAAGTACTGCGCCCAACGTGGGGCTCGAACCCACGACCCTGAGATTAAGAGTCTCATGCTCTACCGACTGAGCTAGCCGGGCTGCTGTGCACCACTTCGGGGGAGGGGTTTAAAAAGCTTCTCTCATTGGAGGACTACAGTCGCATAACTTAAAGCCTTCCCACAAACAAACTATTTTGTTTTTAATGTAGGGCCACAAAGTTTAATAAAGATGGATGCTTTGAGATCTCAATCAAGTCAGTTATGATTAAAGTCGTCTGTTATGAGTCATGTGTTGACCATACAACTCTCCATTAAATCTAAGTATTTAAGGGCTAAGCGTGGCTATTTAGGTTGTGATTTTCTTAAAATAAAATAAATATGATGATGGTTTATAAATGTAAGTGT